CTGCAGTAGCGTAGCGAGGGGGGGGCAAGGGGGAGTAGCCGCCCCCCCAATGCTCAGAAAGTTGGTCTCTGAGAAAAGTGCAAATCTGCAATAAAATTTGTAGGGGGCCCCCCTACAAATTTTATTGCACAAATGGCATAGCTCATTATAAGCCATCTAAAAAGAGCCGTTTTCCAGCATTCTAAGGGGCGTGGTCTTAAATTTTCCCGGGGGAAGATTCCCGGACCCCCTGCTATTTTTCTTACCTGTTTGCCCCCCCAATCTTCCCGCTCTGGCTACGCCACTGCTGTCCTGTTGTTTTCCGATGGAGCACGAGATTGATTTTTGTATATCAATTCAAATTCAAAACACTTTATTCCATCAATTATAGTGGAGATCCTATTTATATATATGGTGTTTACATTATGAAATAGAATGCTATATACATAAATATACAATGCTTGTTTAACAAGATTAGAGAGAACATTATAATCACAGATGACTGAAATGTGCTTGGCTTGATGTTCAAACGCCTGATGTCATTGATATTTCATTAGATGTTCTTTTTTTGGTAGGAGATATTTGTAATATTTTCTGGTAGTTGGTTCCAGATAACCAGTCCTTGGATATGCTTACTTCTTGGCCCGGTTTCTGTATTTGATCTTTTGATATGTAAGGAATTCTTTTTCCTTGTACCGACACCTGTTATGTTACCTGTTGTTTGTATAGGTAATAGCCAAGTTGGGTAATTTCATTGTATCACTTTATGGATTATAATACACGTGTTATAGTTGTATTTCTGAAGGTTTTTTTTAGCCATATTAGTTTGTTTCTATGTGGTGTGATGTGGTCATATTTATTTACATTTCCAAGTTTTTAGTTTCTGTGTCCTTGTTTTTGTCAAGATTCTTGCTTTCGCTTGCTTCGTGTCTGATTAATTTATTCACATAGGAATAAAATTCAATTTGTTTCTCTTATGATCAGTATTCTTTTAATATTCAATAAAGTGAGCCTGTTTATTTCGATTTAAATAGTTTCTTTTCTGGTGATCATGATTATTTTGCGTATTATCTAATTCATTTATTGACTTTGAGATATCGAGTAATTAATTGCTTTTATAATGATCGCTATTTTGTTTTATATTTGATTCATTAAGATATGACATAGTTTTGAATATTGTTGATTTGATGTTTATCAAGTTTCATGATTGATAATTATATGACAGTGAGTCATAACTGTCTAGTTGTATGTAAAGAGCCAAGAACCCAAACAATGTCTTCTGTTTCTTTTTCACATAAACTTTGGTATTGTAACTTTTTTATATTGCATATATAATATTCAATTAACATAACTGAAGAACATTTAATAAAATGTTGAATAGGGGCCACAACATATACATATATATATATATATATATATATATATATATATATATGTATGTATACATATATATGTATATATATGTATTTATGTACATATATATTACGGACATACACACATATATATTTATATATGTGTATTTATATATGTATGTATATATGTATATATTCTATATATATATAAATATTACACACACGCATTTATATGCATATATATATATAAGGAATTAAATGGAATGGAATTAAATCGTAACGAGTTGACCTCGAAAAGAGACGGATAAATGACCGAAATAGATCCATCCATTTCGGTCCTTTGAAATGTGCTTGGCTTGACGTTCATAACAGTGTGAATAACAGTTATAACACAATGAGCATTAAGAAAAGCATTAATTTTAGAAGTTTTTATGCAAACTAGATCAAAACATATTAGATCACAACAAAAATACCAATATCGATTGATATATATAGGTAATTAAGGACAGACACAGAATAGTGTGTATATGTGTGTGTGTGTATGTGGGTGTGTATGCGTGTGTGACTGCGTATGTGTGTGAGTGTGCATATATATATATATATATATATATATATATATATATATATATATTAGAAGTGTACTTTCAAGCATGACCTTATAAAAATGATGAACACAATGTCATTTAAACGATCAAATAACAGATCGCCACATACCTTTGCCTCAAACAACTGAACAATTCGAAGAGATGATGCAGAGTGCACGGCAAGAGCGGTAGTTGTCAGATGACTAGCCTTTTAGAAGCTCAACGCATACAAAATCTCGCTGCCAGTTAGCCTCTCCCATGGTAGCAAAAAAACAGTAACTATTTACTAACTGCATTTATGGAATCCTATTGTATATTCATTTCTACGCTATGTGGGAGGTGAAGGGAAAAATATGAAATGACTGATATCAGCGTGCTAAAAAGTTATTCTAATCAGAAATATTATGATACAAGCGGAAACTCAGGTGTTGACGCCGGGGCAGTGCCCTTGCTGGTCAGACTAGAATTACTGATGAGACGTCCTTGCTAACATAAACCATCAAATATACACTTTAGATTCAAATATTTCCCTCATAAAACTTTCTAAATGTGTCAATTTTTTAGGGAAATATCTCGTTAGTATTTAAAACGTATGAGGAAGTACATTATATTACATAAGCAGTGGGAATCCTCAAGGTTACCTTGTCTTCCACACGCACATTCAAGCATTTCTTACGGGTAAAGTCTTACATTTTTACGCGGTAGAATTGTGCTTGGCAATACTAACCAAGATATCAGAAATGATACTAATAATGACGATCATTATATTAAACATGATATTTATGATGATAATGACACTAATGATTATAATATAGGCGATAGTAAGTATGATAATGCCATAAATAATAGTAATGATTATAATGATAGCAATAATCAAAATCGCAATGCTAATAAGGTTGATAGAATCTTGAGGACAATGACGATGATATTTATGATTGTTAGTAATAATAATACTATCATATTTTCATTCTCATTATTATCATTAGAACTACTACGATTACTACCATCATTATTACTTTTATTATCATTACTATTATTATTATCATTAACGGGTACACACACATACATACACACATACACACGCACACGCGCACACATACACACACACACACACGCACGAACACGCCCACACATACACACGCACACACACACACACACTCACACATACACACATACATCACGCACACGCACACACACGCGCACACACATACACACACACATACACACATAAACACGCACACACACACATACACACAAACACATGTATACTCCATAAATATACCACTGCATAATCTATTTCCAGGTGAAAATAATAGAAAAGTAAGCAATAACTATTCAATTGCGTAAAAAATGAGTATCTCCCATCACTAATATACATATATACATATATGCATACATACATATATATGTATACACACATACACATATATATATGTATGTATACATAAATATGTATATATACATCTATGTATATATATGTGCATATATATGTGTTCATATATTTATATGTATGTGTAGGTGTATACATATATGTATGTATATATATATATATATATGTATATTTGTGTGTGTACATATATACGTATGTGTATATATACATACATATTCACACACATATATATATGTGTGTGTGTATATGTATATATATATGATATATACCTATAAACATATATATACTTATATATGTAAATACATATATATATGATGACTGCCGCGATGGTCCAGTGGTTAGAGCACTGGAGTTAAATTTCTCAAAGTGGCAGTCGTAAAAATGGCTGCTCTCTGACTGCTGGCTCGAGCCCGAGAAAACGACATATTGCCTTGAGAAGCCAAACGCAGGTGTCGTACGGGAAGTATTTATATATAGATAATATATATATGTATGATATAATATATATACATATATATGAATCTCTCTCTATATATACATGTGTGTGTGTGTGTGTAATATATATAATATATATATCATAAGATATATATATGATATGCATAACATAATATATATAATATAGAATATTTAACATAATATATATGATATACTATATACTATTATATATTACATTACATCTTTATGTATGTACTGTAAATATATCATATATATTATATATACATCATATGCATATCATTTATCGTATCATATATATATATATATATATATATATATATATATATATATATATACATATACTATATTATATCATAAATATATATATATATATATATATACATATTCATATATTGTATTACATTATATATATATCATACTATATATATATACATATATATATATATCATACTATATATATATATACAATATATATATGATATATATATATATATACAATATATATATATGATATATATATATATATATTACGCGCGCGTGTATGTGTATGTGTGTGTGTATGTATATCTATATATATGCGCATATGTATATATATGGTGTGTGTATATATATATATGTGTATATATATATATATGTGTGTGTGTGGTGTACATATGTGTATGTATGTATATATACATACACACACACACACACACATATATATATATATATATATATATATATATATATATATATATATGCATATATATACATATACATATATATACAAATATATATATACATATCTATATTCCTATATATTTATGTATAAATATATGTATACCATATATATATGTGTGTGTATGAGTGTGAGCGTATGTGTGTATACATATACATATACCATAAATATATGTGTGTGTGTGGTGTACGTATATGTATACATATATACTTATGTGTATATATGTATATATATGTATATATATATATATATATATATATATATATATAGGCGCTCCAAAAATTCTGTATGTATGCCATTATCTCCAGTTGCTCTGATCTTTGGTAAAGTTTTTATAAATTCTGAAATTTCCCTTTCCTCAGTCTTTACCAACTTATCTCCATTATTTCATATAACTGGTTTTAAATTCATATTGATAATAATAATAATAATGATAATGTTAGTGATACTAATAATCTTAATTACAAGAATGACAGTGAAGATCATACTGATAATGATAATCATGATAATAATAACAATAATAACAATTATAATAATAATAATGGTATAACTACAACTAATATGGTAATCCCAATGAATTACACATCAGGTCAGCCCCATTTCATAAAAAATCAAATAATGTTTTAGAGTAAATAGCAAATTTTCATCTAAAATCTATTGGTTACTTGAAAATATTCTTAATTATAACATCAAAACAATAGCATCACAAAATCCTGTAGATTAATTATCTGTCCAAGAATCCTATTATGAAAAGTAACACTATAAAATCAAAGCTTATAAATTCCGCCTGTATGAAAAAATATAAAATACAAGAAAGTGTACGATAAGGATATTATAAAAATCCTACAAGAATTACATTCAGTGATTAAGGGATTATCACATGAGGACAAATTTTCGTGTACTTTCCACAATCCACAAACAGCAATTTCATTTAACAAATCTCCACTCTGGATCTTCATTGTCCACCAAAACTTAGCAAGAATGCCAGCCGGCCTCGTTCCCTTTGCCTGCGCCTGGGCAGATGGGCGATAATCACTTACTTCCATGTTATTAGCCTTTATTATATTTTAGATAGTTATTTGAGAACCTCCGTGTGCTTGGACTTGTAATATTATGGTTAACTGCATTTTGATAGAACAGCATATTTCTGCCTTTCTATGTTTTGTATAGGCTAGATTAAATGACATTTTCGTGGACACGCAATAATTTGTACACAATTTTAGAAACTATACGACAAACCTGTAGAATGTTTTACAAGTACACAATAATTTGCTCTCGTGTCATATGGCCTTTACGTGTGCTCTGAGTGAAGGATTCTTGATGAACAAGATGCAAATAAAACACGGGAAAAGTACAAATATTCCAGTAGAACTCTTTGCTATATTGCTTCAACAAGGCTAGACAAAGCAATATAGCGTAAAGGTCTTCCGTATATTCGCGTGTTTTCTTATATTTTCCTACGTTGTTTTATGTACTACAGATGCTCCAAACCACAACCATCAACAGGCAAACAAGTACACGAGTCCCCAGAGGCTAAGTAGGAGCAGGTATCACACCTACAAAGTGGTGGGTTTATGCTAGGGACCAATGTCACTGTCACAGTGTTATCTCTACAGACTTCTCTCGTCGTAATGTACACCGGGAGCGTGACAGTTTCCCGTTGTGGGCAGCCATAGCCGGAGTAAGCAGACCGTTTGACAACGTTGCCCTCCATCCCTGGCCACAAAGATACATCGGTGACACCCAGCACTGGTTCTAAGGAATGCTCTTCGCTCTTAGCCTGAACTTTGGAACGTGATGTCAGTGCCTCTGTAAAGGCACTTGTGGCACTGTTGACGTGGCCGACGAAGGAAGGTTCCAAGAAATGCGGACTGCCATTGATCACGGCGCCAGTTACCACCCACACCACAGCCACTAGCAGGTAGCGCGATGTCATTTTCAGCAACACGGTCAGTTCGAATGAAACCTGAAACATGTGATAAATTATGAATTACAAATCTACGTTTATGTATATTTATGCACATTTGAATAGATATATAGATAGGTAGACGTATAACACAGTCGGCATAAAAGCATCATTGTGTGTAAACCATTAGCTTCCAAAATGGCGGCCCTCTCCTTGAGCCGGTCAGAACGCCTTCCGTCGCCCTACCTTGAACACAACTAGCGAGTCCTTGGCCTCCAGTACTGTGCTCGGCCACGCTACCACTCAAATACCTCAAATACTCTATCATTGCTACATAGAGTCCATAAAACAAATAGAGCTCTTACATATATATATAAACATATATGTTTATATATGTATATATATATTCATATGTATATATATATTTATGTACATGTTTATATATACATGCTTAATTATATATATATATATATATATATATATATATATATATATATATATATATATGCATATATATGTTTATATATATTCACATATATATGTCTGTATATACATATATCAATATATCTATATATCTATAGATATCTATCTATATATATGTGTATGAATAGGAAAACCGCCACAATAAAGAACGAATTAAATTGTAACGTTTTAAACCCGTCAAGAGTTACTCGTCTGACGGATGAACAACCGAAATGGATCCATCCATTCCGGTCATTTATCGGTCTCATGAAGAACTCTTGGCGAGTTCCACTCGTTACGATTTAATTCCATTCCATTTAATTCCATATATATATATATATATATATATATATATATATATATATATATATATATATATATATATTTATATATATATATATATATTTATATATATATATATATATATATATATATATATATATATATATATATATATATATATACATGCATATCAATGCGTGAGTGTAATATATATATATATACTATATATATACATATATACATACATATATAAATACATATATATATATATATATATTTATATATATATATGTGTGTATGTGTGTAATATATTTGTACATAAATACATATATATACATACATATATATGTATACATATATGTATATATATATATATATATATATATATATATATATATATATATATATGTATATGTTGTGGTCCCTATTCAATAGTTTATTAAATGTTCTTCAGTTATTATGTAAATTGAATATTATAGATATAATATGATAAAGTTACAATACCAAAGTTTATATGAAAAAGAAACAGAAGACATTGCCTGGGTTCTTGACTCTTTACATATAACGAGACAGTTATGACTCAGTTATATAATTATCAGTCAAGAAACTTGATAAAAACCAAATCAACAATATTCAAAACTACGACATATCTTAATGAATCAAATATTATAAATCAAAATAGTGATCATTATAAAAGCAATTAATTACTCGATATCTCAAAGTTAATAAATGAATTAGATATTACACAAAATAATCCTGATCACCAGAAAAGCAAATATTTGAATCAAAATAAACATACTCACTTTACTGAATATTAAAAGAATACTGATCATAAGAGAAACAAATTGAATTTTATTCCTATATGAATCAGACACGAAGCAAGTGAAAGCAAGAATTTTGACAAAAATAAGAACACAGAAACTAAAAACTTCGCGGCAAGAGTAGCACTGGGAAATGTAAATAAATATGACCAGATTACGCCACATAGAAAGGAACTAAAGGGGCTAAAAGTACAACAGAAATGCAACTATGACACGTGTATTGTAATCCTTAAAATAATCCATAAAATTGGCTATTACCAATACAAACAACAGGTAACATAACAGGTGTCCATACAATGCAAACGATCGAATACAGAAACCGGGATATCCATTATAATTAATGGAATAAAGTGTTTTGAATTTGAACTGATAGATAAAAAAATCAGTCTTGCGCTCCGTCGGAAAGCAACAGGACTCGTCACTGCCTACGCACTTGAACTAACCTATCTATCCTCATTAACCATTAAATAAAAATATATCTAACATAATATTGATATATAACCTTGACGTCTATCCCATTTATTTCTTTTAACCCTTAGCACATTATTGCCACCCGAGTTAATCTCTTGTTCCCAGAGTGATATACTATGATCTATATTAGAACTGCTTGTTATTTCGCACTCGTGATTTCTTTTTCTCTTCTGCGGATCCATCAAGTGGTGTCACCCTCTGTCACATGATGATTTCGCTACTTTGGGCCATAGGGCGCTTCTTTTTTTCTTTCTTTTTCTCATCTGTGTCTTGTACTGGTGACCATATTTGTATGTAAGGAATCCTCCTCGAATCCTTGTGATGTTGATCTATTGTGGGCGTCTCGTCCCAGCTTGTGTTTCGTCCGGTCATATGGCATCCGCTGCTATATATATATATATATATATATATATATATATATATATATATATATATATACATGTCGTAGATTCTCAAAGGCTTAATCATATATATATATATATATATATATATATATATATATATATATATATATATATATATATAAATTATACATATATATATATATATACATATATATATATATATATATATATATATATATATATATATATATATATGCGTATATATGTACACACGTGTATATATGTAGATATATATGAATATTTGTATATATATATGCGTATGTATGAATGTATGTATGTAATATGTATGTATGTATAAGCAATCACGCTATGAAATAACAGATATTTAGCAGCTACAGCATGGGGATACTTTTATTGAATAGATACATTATATATTCCCAAAAGGAAAACATAAACGGACAAACAGAAAATGAAATGAATAATCTACAATTGAGAGAGAGCGACTGACAGAGTGTGTGTATGTGAGAGAGAGAGAGAGAGAGAAAGAGAGAAAGGGTGTGGGGGAGTGAGTAAAAGGGACAATGATAGTGAGAGTGAGAATATGAAAAAAAGGAAGAGAGAGAGAGAGAGAGACAAAGGGTGTGGGGGAGTGAGTAAAAGGGACAATGATAGTGAGAGTGAGAATATGAAAAAAAGGAAGAGAGAGAGAGAGAGAGAAAGGGTGTGGGGGAGTGAGTAAAAGGGACAATGATAGTGAGAGTGAGAATATGAAAAAAAGGAAGAGAGAGAGAGAGAAAGGGTGTGGGGGAGTGAGTAAAAGGGACAATGATAGTGAGAGTGAGAATATGAAAAAAAGGAAGAGAGAGAGAGAGAGAGAAAGGGTGTGGGGGAGTGAGTAAAAGGGACAATGATAGTGAGAGTGAGAATATGAAAAAAAGGAAGAGAGAGAGAGAGAAAGGGTGTGGGGGAGTGAGTAAAAGGGACAATGATAGTGAGAGTGAGAATATGAAAAAAAGGAAGAGAGAGAGAGAGAAAGGGTGTGGGGGAGTGAGTAAAAGGGACAATGATAGTGAGAGTGAGAATATGAAAAAAAGGAAGAGAGAGAGAGAGAAAGGGTGTGGGGGAGTGAGTAAAAGGGACAATGATAGTGAGAGTGAGAATATGAAAAAAAGGAAGAGAGAGAGAGAGAGAGAGAAAGGGTGTGGGGGAGTGAGTAAAAGGGACAATGATAGTGAGAGTGAGAATATGAAAAAAAGGAAGAGAGAGAGAGAGAAAGGGTGTGGGGGAGTGAGTAAAAGGGACAATGATAGTGAGAGTGAGAATATGAAAAAAAGGAAGAGAGAGAGAGAGAGAGAAAGGGTGTGGGGGAGTGAGTAAAAGGGACAATGATAGTGAGAGTGAGAATATGAAAAAAAGGAAGAGAGAGAGAGAGAAAGGGTGTGGGGGAGTGAGTAAAAGGGACAATGATAGTGAGAGTGAGAATATGAAAAAAAGGAAGAGAGAGAGAGAGAGAAAGGGTGTGGGGGAGTGAGTAAAAGGGACAATGATAGTGAGAGTGAGAATATGAAAAAAAGGAAGAGAGAGAGAGAGAAAGGGTGTGGGGGAGTGAGTAAAAGGGACAATGATAGTGAGAGTGAGAATATGAAAAAAAGGAAGAGAGAGAGAGAGAAAGGGTGTGGGGGAGTGAGTAAAAGGGACAATGATAGTGAGAGTGAGAATATGAAAAAAAGGAAGAGAGAGAGAGAGAAAGGGTGTGGGGGAGTGAGTAAAAGGGACAATGATAGTGAGAGTGAGAATATGAAAAAAAGGAAGAGAGAGAGAGAGAGAGAGAGAAAGGGTGTGGGGGAGTGAGTAAAAGGGACAATGATAGTGAGAGTGAGAATATGAAAAAAAGGAAGAGAGAGAGAGAGAGAGAGAGAAAGGGTGTGGGGGAGTGAGTAAAAGGGACAATGATAGTGAGAGTGAGAATATGAAAAAAAGGAAGAGAGAGAGAGAGAAAGGGTGTGGGGGAGTGAGTAAAAGGGACAATGATAGTGAGAGTGAGAATATGAAAAAAAGGAAGAGAGAGAGAGAGAAAGGGTGTGGGGGAGTGAGTAAAAGGGACAATGATAGTGAGAGTGAGAATATGAAAAAAAGGAAGAGAGAGAGAGAGAAAGGGTGTGGGGGAGTGAGTAAAAGGGACAATGATAGTGAGAGTGAGAATATGAAAAAAAGGAAGAGAGAGAGAGAGAGAGAGAGAGAGAAAGGGTGTGGGGGAGTGAGTAAAAGGGACAATGATAGTGAGAGTGAGAATATGAAAAAAAGGAAGAGAGAGAGAGAGAAAGGGTGTGGGGGAGTGAGTAAAAGGGACAATGATAGTGAGAGTGAGAATATGAAAAAAAGGAAGAGAGAGAGAGAGAAAGGGTGTGGGGGAGTGAGTAAAAGGGACAATGATAGTGAGAGTGAGAATATGAAAAAAAGGAAGAGAGAGAGAGAGAAAGGGTGTGGGGGAGTGAGTAAAAGGGACAATGATAGTGAGAGTGAGAATATGAAAAAAAGGAAGAGAGAGAGAGAGAGAAAGGGTGTGGGGGAGTGAGTAAAAGGGACAATGATAGTGAGAGTGAGAATATGAAAAAAAGGAAGAGAGAGAGAGAGAAAGGGTGTGGGGGAGTGAGTAAAAGGGACAATGATAGTGAGAGTGAGAATATGAAAAAAAGGAAGAGAGAGAGAGAGCAAGACAAAGATTTACGCCCACAACATATATACAGAAAAAACTAGTAACATGTATACCCTATGGTTCAATTGTCAGTGGTAAAAAACATAAATTGATGATTAATGTTTTTAAACATGTATTTACGTCACATGCACTGGTATGATATTAATAATGGTAATAATAATAATTACAGTGAATAACAGTTAATAACAAAATGAGCATTAAGAAAAGCATTGATTTTAGTTCTTATGCAAACCAGATCAAAACATATAATCGATAACTACAAAAATTCAAATATCTATTGATGTATTTAGGTAACTAAGGACAGACACACAGAATAGTGTGTGTATGTGTATGTGTGTGCGTGTGTGTATATGCGTGTGTGTATGCGTGCGTATGTGTGTGTGTGTGTGTGTAAAATTATGAACACAATGTCATTTAAACAATCAAATAACTGATCGCCACATACCTTTGCCTCAAACAACTGAACAATTCGAAGAGATGATGCAGAGTGCACGGCAAGAGCGGTAGTTGTCAGATGACTAGCCTTTTACAAGCTCAACGCATACAAAATCTCGCTGCCAGTTAGCCTCTCCCATGGTAGCAAAAAAACAGTAACTATTAACTAATTGAATTTATGGAATCCTATTGTATATTCATTTCTACGCTATGTGGGAGGTGAAGGGAAAATATGAAATGACTGATATATCAGCGTGGCGTAAAAAGTTATTCTAATCAGAAATATTATGATCTAAGCGGAAACTCCGGTGTGACGCCGTGTCAGTGCCCGTGTTGGTCAGACTAGAATTACTGATGAGACGTCCTTGCTTACATAAACCATCAAATATACACTTTAGATTCAAAGTGTGTCTATTTTTTAGGGAAATATCACGTATACATTTGTTAGTATTTGAAACGTATGAGAAAGTACATTATGTTACATAAGCAGTGGGAATCCTCAAGGTTACCTTGTCTTCCATACGCACATTCAAACATTTCTTACGGGTAAAGTATTACATTTTTACGCAGCAGAATTGTGCTTGGCAATACTAACCAAGATATTAGTAATGATGATACTAATAATAATGATCATTATATTAAAGATGATATTTATGATGATAATGACACTAATGATTATAATATAGGCGATAGTAACTATGATAATGCCATAAATAATAGTAATGATTATAATGATAGCAATAATTAAAATGGCAATGATGATGAAAAGAAACTTGTGGACAATGACGATGATATTCATGATTGTTAGTAATATTAATACTATTATATTTTTATTCTCATTATTATCATTATAACTACTACAACTACTACCATCATTATTACTTTTATTATCATTATTAACACGCACACACACACGCACACATACACACATGTTCACTACAGAAAATCGTAAGATATATCAAATATACTTACAACGAGAATATTGATGGTGTTGTGTTTAATCATTTTTAATTATTCATGATCTTTTGTGTGATGGTTTCGGGTAATGTGAAGTATTGGTAATGGGTTGGGGTTTTGACAAATAGAAATAAGACGTTACTTGCGTCATATACATTTCCATGAAAGTAATATAGGAAACAAAAAGAGGAAAGAGAAATAAAAACTAAACTAGGTAAATCTATATATAATTCTAATATCGGAATACACTAAATGAAACTACATTTACAATTCTAATACATAATTTTTATAAACTAAATATATTCAAAGAACCGGGAAAATATATGAAATATCATAATGCATGAAGGTTAAGCCTATTGCATCAAATTTTATTATGGACTTGTAGTTGCAACATTCCCCTAGACTAAGACTAAATCTCGTCAAACAACTACAACCGTAATAATATTTATATTTATATATTTGTTTATACATATATCTACATATCTGTATATTCTATATATATTTATATATATGTGTGTGTGTGTGTGTGTGTATGAATAGGAAAACCGCCACAATAAAAAAAAATAATTAAATCGTAACGTTTTAAACCCGTCAAGTCTTCCTCGTCAGACGGATCCATCCATTTCGGTCATTTATCCGTCTCATGAGGAACTCTTGGCGAGATCCACTCGTTACGATTTAATTCCATTGCTTATTGTGGCGGTTTTCCCATTATTCTTTGCATACGTGTTACTCTGCTAGTGTTTATGTTTGTGTTCATATATATATGTGTGTGTGTGTGTGTGTTTGTGTAATATATGATATATATATGTATAAATATATATATGCGTGCAAATATACATACACACACATATATGTATATAAATACATATATGCATTAGTTCACCAATAATAAGAAGCAACTGTTGTAAAACCTTTGTTGTTGACAAAGTTCAACCTGAAATAGAGAAATCACATGCCTGGGAACTGGCAAAAAAAAAATAACAAACTTTTAACCTGCATGTACACAATCAGATAAGTATACATAAATCCTCAGAATCCATCAAACGTTCAATAAGTGTAAAAAGGCAGTCAATACTTGATAATATTCAACTAGAGAAAATTCATAACTACCACATCATGATTCCAAAGAAACACAATATATTTCATAGAATGAGAATTGATTGAGAACTTTAACTTACATAATGCTTATCCCGTGATAGGAAAAAAACAGTATTTATGGAATCCTATAGTATGCAGTGCCCTTGCTGGTCAGACTAGAATTGCTGATAAGACGACCTTACGAACATAAACCATCAAATATACAATTTAAATTCAAATATGTGCCTCGTGAAACTTTCCAAATATGTGTATTTTTAGGGAAATATTACGTATACATTTGTTAGTATTTGAAACGTATGAGGTAGTACATTATATTACATAAGCAGTGGGAATCCTCAAGGTTACCGTGTTACCGAATTTTGCTTGGCAATACTAACCAAGATATTAGTAATGATACTACTAATGACGATCATTATATTAAACATAATATTTATGATAATGACACTAATGGTTATAATATAGGCGATAGTAACAATGATAATGCCATAAATAATAGTAATGATTATAATGATAGCAATAATCAAAATGACAATGATAATAAGGATGATAAAAAGAAACTTCAGGATAATAACGATGATATTTATGATTGTTAGTAATATTGATACTATCATATTTTTATTCTCATTATTATTATTATTCCTACAATGACTACTAACATCATTATTATCATTATTATTATTATTATCATTATTATTATCATCATTACTATTATTATTATTATTATCATTACTATTACTATCATTATTAACATTATCATTATCATTACTATCATTATAATCATTACTATCATTATAATCATTACTATAATTATTATCATTATCATTACTATCATTATCATTATCATTATTATTTATTATTATAATCATCAGCAGCAGTCATGATTCATACAATAGGAAAAAAGTGAGAGAAAAAAAATTCAGGCGCATATTTTCTCCACCTGTTTTTTCCGTGTGTGTGGGTAGCGTTGAGGAAGGAGGGAACAAGGAAAGGGCAACGGGAACGCGCGTACACACACATACACGCGCGCACACAGATACACGCGCATACACACATACACACACACACTCACAAACATATACACATATATACACACATACACGCACACACATACATACACGCACACACACTCACACATACACACACACGCACACACACACATACATACACACATACACGTACACATACACGCACACATATACACACACACTCACACACATACACATACACGCACGCACACACACACACATACACATACAGACTACATTAAAACCATAAATGTATATTACATAAATAACCCACTGTAT